GCATATACGGCAATCATAATAATGCTGATGATAAGCGAGTATTACCTACTTTGTATGTATATAACCACATCTGCTTACCCGTTCGGGGATAAAAAGGCGTGTCGTTATTTATGTAAACGGTTCACTTCCTTATTAGATAAATGATAATAGTAACATAACTAGTGATGTAACAATGTCGTTCTTTCTCTTTCAGACAGTGGTACAATGTGCGAGAAAGACAGAGATAGCGCTATGGGCGTATTTGTTCTCAGCAGCGGGGAAACCGAAGGAATTGTTCCAGGAATGCTTACAACGCAAGATGCTGGATACCGCCGCCTCTTATTTAATCATATTACAGGTATGTGCAACACTTAAAAGTAATATTATACATTCATAAGTCTTATATTTCAATGTTTACGTTAGAGTGATAGCAAGCGTAACTTAGGGTTGAATTTCCGAATCCAATTAATAAAAAGAAAAAAAAATATTAGAAATTTATTTCGACTTCATTATGTATGTGAACTTGTATGTTTGTAAACGCACCCACGAGACAGGAGAAAATCCTAGTGTGGGGCAACGTTTTTAAAAAAAAAAAAAACTTCGCATCATTGAGTGCTTTTTTTTTATTAATAAATATAATTAAATAATTATGTATTGAAAGTTTTCTGGGGACTGCTAGTATTTTACCACTTCTGTCTACCCGGTGAAGGAAAACGAATTTTCACATTTTTGAAAATGTTATGTTTTCTTCTTGCAGCTGGTAAAGGTACATTACAATATACTGTCTGCTTATTTCACGCCTGAAATGTCTCCTTAGCTCTGAAACTATCAAAAATGTATTTGGTAGTTACTCATTATTTTGTATGTACAATTTAAGTGTCAAATTGTGTTTGCTGTAAACTATAAATTCTACTTCTCAATTGGTGGAGTTTTTAAAAGTTGGTTGTGCAAGTGAGAAGGAATGGGGTAGTTTCCTAAATTTTATTTTAATGTCTGTCTGGTAGGTTAGTTTAAAACATTACACACGTATTTTTTCTTTTCTCACTAAAGTAAATACTTTTGACGATATATTAATTTGAAATGTCGTCTAACGTCACAGCGTGCTACGAAATGTACCACGCTCGTTACAAAACCTAACGACCTCCCACTTCTCAACTTAACTCCTTTTTATCTAAGTATTGTAACTTTATACGAGAAAATGACAAAATCTTTTCATTATCTAACTGACGGATGAAGTAGATTTAAAACTTTCTTACCCTGGTAACTATTATATCATTGGCAGCAGACAGAAAAAATTTATTATTCGATTTGATGTACTATAGATAAATAATACACCAATTTTCTCTTCAATTTCACCCAATTACAGTTTCACTTACACAATCACTGTTGAAAATCTACCAAACAATTATGTTATACCTATAGCTTTAAATCTTGCTTTTGTCACATAGAATAGTGAACCGAAAGCGTAGCGTGGCAAAAGTGATTTTCGTGTGTAGCTAGCACGCCTTGCGATCGCTTCTCTGTTTGCATTCAATATTTCTATTATATAACTTATTATTCGCCTCGCTTTCGGTTTCTGCCTTCGCTGTGTGGCAAAGGCTTTACTTATTTTCTTTTATGGTACAGGCACTCGATACGCTTTACCACGTTAGGGCCGATTTTTCTAACGGAAAATAAATTTTAACTGACGAATAACTTTGAATATTTATCTATTTTTCCATACTAAAACGTTTTTATAATAACAATCGTGAGACTACAAAATTTCTCAGTATATTCACGTGAGTAACCCGCGTTTTTACTTAATACTAAAACCTGTCAAATGTCAATTTTATTCTACTGTTAAGAATTAACTGGTGATTGAAATCGGCTTTTAAACACTTTTATCTATATGTCATGTCAACATGTCTTGAAATATATATAACAATATAAGACCTCAGTTCGGAAAAATGTTATTGGAAATTTTGATTTCAGTATTAGTAGCTATTACAAAAATATTGGCCGAACATAGTTTTTGATTAATGAACTTTTAAAAAAACTACATCATTTCTTATCTTATTGCAACTCAATCTGTAAGTTAACTGAAAACACGTGTCATAAATTCATGCTGGTCTTAGTATCGTGTGCCTGTTCATAATGCAGTATGTCTTTATGTTTGTTTGTCTGTGACAGAACTTGGAAAGTTCAGCGGTGAGCAGACAGCTAGCGACACAACTCCTCGACACCGCCCTGCAGCAGGAGCGGTGGGATCTCGCCAGGGATCTCGTCAGATTCTTGAGAGCTATAGGTGAGTGTCAAGGGTGGGAAAATAAAAGTTAATTATGATTTCTTTTCGTACCACATTGACTGTAGTAGATGTATTTAAAGAAATATCTGTAGTTGCTTCATCACTAAGAATCAATACTAATTGATTCTTCTTCTCTCGTTTCGCTCTTGGCAGAGCGGCTGTGTTCTCGATGAGACGTATTTGTGTTGAAGGCCGATAGTGCTCACGATCTCCCGTCATCTCTCCCTGTTTATAAATTTTCTGACGCAGTCTGACATTGGGTTTTCTGATGCCGATTTAACTTGATCAGTCCAGCACATAACCAATCTGTTTCATGATTTGGTTCCCCTACTATTGACTGCTTCCATTTAAAAGCGAATTAACAGAATAAAAAAGAATACTCTTTATAAATGAGCACTTTTCCTAAACCTTTGAAAATTCTGTTGACTGAAGTAATTCTTAATACCAATTCTCTTGCATTCAAGACTGCTTTTGTATACAAGAAAAAAGTGAAAAATAACGTAGTCAAATATAAAATAGTGCGGTCCGTCGTAGTTGGCTTCGACCCGTCTTACGCCTCCTAAATGCGGTCATTTAATAGGGTCCCGGTGGACCCTGTGGTCCCGTGACTGGTAGAGACATACATAATAATAATAAATCATAATAATTTACTGACTACTGTCGGCAAGTCACGATATTTTTTATTTTAAATACTTAAGAAATATATGCGAAAACTTGTAATTGGCCATAATTTAGTCATAGTTATATATAATTGTCAATTCTAGCTGTAAGTTTTCTAAATGTAAAAATAAAATAAAATAAATAAAATAATTTCCCATCACCGTAATAGATCCAAACGACGTGGATTCACCGAGGAATTCGGTGAACGTTCAAGCGAAATACGGACAGGTGGTGCAGTCTCAGACTGTCAGTCCCAACGCTGAGGACCTGTCCGTCATACTGGGCAGCATGCAGGTAATCGAGGTCGACATACTTTTCATTATTATTGCAAGCTCTACTAAACCTGGGAACTATTGGACTAACATTTGGTCTACATTTGGTGATGAAAATTCAACTAACTTGGAACACTAATATTAATTATACACTAATATAATACTAATATGGGATTGATAAACTTTGATAAACAAGCATGCTTTACTGACAAGTTTGTTTAACATTTGAGTTTGGGTTCAAGCTTTTAAACTGTCAAACACCGCGAGGACACCGGTGACCGCAACCTATTGTTCTTTAATTGTGTCTATAATGACGGTACTCAAAGAGATGAAAAAGAATTAAGGTATTAACATTAACCAGGCCTAACATAATGTGTTTTTATTCTAATATTTTTAATTCTAAAAATATCACAAAATAAGATTTGTTTTTTTTTCTGCATTTCAATTTGATCATTGACATTTTTATTTCATAGCGGAGTAAGGCCCCGCTGAGATTACCGTTTGCTTTCGTAAAAACTTAGACATTACACGCGCTTATTATTATAGAAATATTATCTAGTCGTATTAGAGTTAGATAGAGTTGATTAAACATGATTTCATGGAAAGTATAACCTAACAATCTGGCTTTGTACCCCAGTTGGCTGGCGGCCGCGGCCGTAGCTTCAGTACGACAGTATCCCCCCGCGAGCCCTCGCCCCCCGTCCCCCGCCACACGCACCCCCCGCACGGGCCACTGCCGCTGTTAAGAGGAAGAAGTCTGTTCCTGCAAGATCTGAAAGGTACATTATTCAAGTTTTGTCGATCTTAATTATAAAAATTATTACTCAGTTTGCATGAAAAGTAATTATTTGATTAACATAGTTTCATAACAATCGTCATTTCTTTTGCACAAGTTGCGCAATTGATATGCAAGTTGCGCAACAGATACGCATATTGCGCAACGTTTGCACAACTGCTATGAACATTTATCAAATTACACTGTAATTGTATAATCTTTTAATTTGTTATCGTCTTTCTAACAGTTTCACATCACCTTCAAACAGGGATTCATATAGCGGGACAGCAGAAGAATTCTTCATAGATATGATGATACAACGTCATGCGCGACTCCTTCTATCTACCGCTCGACTTTATGCGCTTGGTAAAATGGCCGCCGCTTTAGACGTACACCTTGTTGCTTGGTTGGCCGGTGAAAGGGAACGAGCGGCCAGGGTAGATAACGCAGTACTCTGTGTCAAGAAACTGCATGAAGACTTTGCTTGGCCATACCCTGTCATTAATGAAACGGAACAGTATCTTCAGCGGAAGGGGAGCACTGTTGCAAGTAAGTGTTATCTACTGTACTTAGTATTAGTAGTACTACTGCTGCTATACTTAGTAGTACTATATTTAACCAACTACAAATAAGAAGGATTTTTTGAGCTTTAAACTGTCAAACACCAAGCGGTCACCGGTGACCGCAACCTATTGTTCTATAATTGTGTCTACAAAACCGGTACTCGACGAGTTAATCCCATAATTGTTTTGTATTGTGTATCATTTTCATCATCGAGTAAGTCAATGATAATGGACAACCCAAGGACGTTAAAAAAAGACGTATGTAATGTCACTTAGAAATAAACGAATGAATCACCAAAATGTATGTGGTATATTTATATGGCTTGCAACTACGTAATGTATGAAATGTAATGTCGGGCCACGTCACGCGACAGATGTCCTTCGAGTCAATGTGTGTGTATTCTCCATGTAAGTCTATAGTAGCCAGGTGCCGCAGTTGTTTCAAGAGACTATGTCCACCATTATTTTAACTTCCTTGGGATAACGGTACAGCATCAATATTGAATTAAAAATGTTAGGTTCGCCATAGTTATAATCAAATTCACAATGAAAAACTTTCTACAGGTACATATACACCCTCAGCGGAATCAGATAGTTTATGCGGAGACAGCGGGTACATGAGTCTACCGCTACGAGCTGCTTTACCGTTGATGACTGGCGCAGTACCTGTGTCGCCTGGACCTGTGAGGTAAGCAAAGTGACAGAAGTGATTATTTAATGTAATGAAGGGTTGTTATGCATGACTTTTTTGACTAGTATTGCTAGTATTGCTTTTGACGAATAACCATTCGTCAAAAGCAATACTACCCGGCAGTCGCACTTGCAACCGCAAGTGCGACTGCCGGGTAAGGGGTCTCGGGTTCGATTCCCAAGTCGGGCAAAGTACTACTGGCTTTTAAAAAAATTCTCAGTAATAGCACGGAGTCTGGAATTGTGCCCGGTATATGGCAATCGGCTCACCCCCTATTACATAGGACTCATAACATAAATAGTGAAAAGTGGGTGTTACATTATACAGTGGCATAATCTGCACCTCTGCCAACCCCTTCGGGGATAAAAGGCGTGATGTTATGTTATGTTATGTTATTGCTAGGACTTCCTTGATCTCTCAATATTTTATTTATTTAAACTTAGTACGAAAATTTTAAACAGGCGGGTTTAATACGTTAAGTACATATTCTTTCCTTGTTGATTTTTAAACAGTGCATAGATGGAAGTAGCAATATTCTATTTGTCAAGCGTGAAATAAGTTTTGATCGTTGCGTTGACTGGATTAAGAGTTTATGCTTCATCAGCGCCAGTCAGTTTTAGAAGTTTTTACTATTAAAACATATTCATGTTATTCAGTTCTGCGGGAGAAGGCAGTGTAGCCGAGGGTGGTGGCGTGGCGTGGGGCGGCGATGCTCTCGGTGCCGGGGAGGAACGACGGTACGCGGCACTCATGGAGCGTCTGCATCACCACCAGGCCGAGCGAGGCTCGCATACTGCGCATGTACAACTCAGGTACTTATCCCACCTGAGGATCTGATCCTAAAAAGACTTCAGATACTGCTATTGGTCTACTTAGTTCATCGCCTATACGTAATTTAATGAAAACGAACTCTGTATCACTCACGTATTTTTAGTACACATCTATATTTTGAGATTCCTGGGTCCAGTTCCAGTCATTCTCGAAATATGTACGAATTAGCTTCAGTCTAAAAGTCTAACAGGTTTTGAATATTTCAAACAAATACGTACACTACGTCATAAAAAACTACTTGTTCTACTTATACCAGATGGTTGCGCGACGCCAAATCATCGCGCTCAAGATTATGAACCCCAGTCTTGACTGAAACTAATCGAGCACACTCGAACACTTCCCCGTATGTTCTAAATAACTTATACAACGTATTAAACACATTTCAGATACTATCTACAGTTAATGACGGAAGCTAGTTGCGTCGAGTGGGCAGTAATAGTAGCGGTAGTACTCCGCGACGCGCTGGCCGTGCTGCGAACTACGAACGCGGCGCGGGGGAACGACGTCAGTCTCGACGCCGTACGACGACTGCGACGGACGCTGCAGGACATCTGTGCGTGGACTGACGCTGAGTGGTATGTTTATATTGATTACTAGCGACCCGCCTCGGCTTCGCACGGGTGCAATATACATGTATTATACATATAAACCTTCCTTAAGAATCACTCTTATCTATTGAAAAAACCACATCAAAATCTGTTGCATAGTTTCAAAGATCTAAGCATACATAGGGACAGACAGACGGCGGATAGCGACTTTGTTTTAAACTATGTAGTTATTTAGTTTTTATCGATGTATTGAAAAGTTTATTAATGAAAGTCACTGAGATATAACCTTCAAGAATAGAGCGTACTCCCTTTTAAAAGGCCGGCGACGTACATTCCGTGGTGTTGCGGTCCATGGTCGAAATTACCTGCTTACCATCAGGCGATACGTTAGCTCGTTTGCCTCATATAAAAGCTATGCTATTGGTCTGCAACTCCTTAATAAGATAGTCTTCTTATCTCGGGTATCTTCTTCGATGTACTTGTACTGTTTTATATTCTTATGTTTAAGTTTCATATTTTGATCAATGATCATATGCTTTTAATAACTAGTCAAACTAAGAGTTTCATTTCCCACCTTTACAGTCTCGGCTACAAACCTTTCATGATGGCGATCAGCAATCAAATCCCGTTCCTAACATCGATAATCAACACTCGAGAGCGTCGACTGTCGATGACAAAGTCTCGTGTTCGGACGCCTAGCACTAGCTCTTTAGGACAAGAGGTAAAACCAAAACCACAGAGTCAGGAAACTAAGCTCCCACCGCCACAAAAGGCCGAGGTATCTAAACAAGCTGTGAGGAAAGAGTCAGCGGGGGTGGAGCCTGTCCCGTCGGTGGCCCCGCCCACGCCCCGCCCACCTGCGCCTGCGCGCGATGACGTCTCCACCGGCTGTGTGCTCATGTAAACCTCTTAAGCAAATGTCAACGAGACGAAATAATTTGACGAATTTGTCATACTAAAACAACTAAAGTAAGTTGTTTTTTTATTTAAAAAAAGTTAATACAGAAGTATGATTTCAATTATATTAATGCCAAGGAAAAATTAACGTTATTCCACACAGTTAAAGTTGCTTGTTATAAGTATTCGTTTTATTTCGTCTCGATGACACGGCTTTCACGTTACGTAGTGTAAGTAAAAAGGTTAGTGTCAGTATCAATTTTATTAAAATAGTTGTACGAATTGGTGTCTAAAGGCGGCCGTTGAAGCGAAAGTTTTTTTATTAAAAAAGAAAATTGATGCTGTCACCCAATTTTGTATGAAACGTTTTGTATCTGGAATTAGACAATTTTCTTCTACAAATAGTAGTACTAGTTTAGTAGACGTCTGTCGAGATTCTAGATAGTATTAAAATTAAGAATTAAATTTGTTATTAATAAATTTCATACTTTCGTACTCTAGTAAGTTTCTTATACTATATTTATTAAAAAATCTTCACTTTCGTCTCGACGTGTTTACTATTTACTAATCAATGTACTTGTTTTGTAAATAATTAGGTAAAATTAAATGAATCTTGTAGTAAGCTACTTTGGAACTTATGAATGAAAGTAGGTATAGCGAAAGATATATTATTATAATTTTGGTGCTGAATAATGTATACATCTCGATATTTATTTGTGTAAATGAATTTATTTTTCTCTAGTCTATTCTTAACTTTTAACAACTTATTTCCACCAATCTACAGAGGAGGCCGAAGTAAGGAACTTGAATATTTGAAAAAAGAATGCATGTTGCATAAAGTGTCGACGTAATATTTTTACCTTTATTTTCATTGTGCCAGTTAAAAACTAATTTAAAATGCAACCTCTTTTTTTCATCCCTTCTATTTTTCTACTCTTTGGTCTCCAAAATTAGTCTAATTTCACTATTATCTATTTGAATGTTTAATATTATTGTACTTATAAATAATGGTATTACATAGTAGTTAATATTAATTTATCTCATATTTTATTTTGAAATCAATACGGACAGCTAGTGTAGATATTAAGTCTATGGGTTGGTCATCCTGGACGATATTAGTATGAATTTATTATGTAGTTATTTGGTATATAGGTTTATGTGTAATAAATGTTATTTATATAAACTTGTGTTAGGTATTATGCCAAAGGTGAAAAAACCTAAAAAAATAATATTTTGTCTCTGGTAAAAATAACAAAAACGGTTACAGTTGCGTCAGAAAACATTAACGAATTTAAAACACTTTTGCTTTAGATTTTTAAGTCTCGATCGTGACATTAAAACAAGCATTAGTTTTTTTGCGTACCATTAAAAATCAGCAAAAACATCGTGGCGTCTTTTAACTTTTCACAAATCAGAGACTAGACTTGTCTTAGACCACGTTTTATATTAAATAAAAACAGTGATACTTTAATATACTTTATCACTTTATGTTATAAGCAAGTTATTGGCTTCAACTACTAGACAGTTTTTTCTCTATGAAATAATTATCCGGTTAAAGAATTCGACTTTGGGGTTAAATAATTATCTCTATTTTTCCATCTTAGCATCAGATTCAGGTCGAGTATTTAAATACTAACAGTACAAGTAGATGTAGAATAAATACTAAATATATTTTATCAGTATATTATATAAAATTATTTGATTTAATTTTGTCAATAGATTCGTCCGTAAGAACAGCAATAATATTGGTATAGTGTTGTGACTTATTTTGCTCATACATACGATGATTATTTTATTTCTTGTGTTGCTCAACGTATAATCTCATCGTTGTATTTAGTGCTCAGAGAATATTTAAAATTATTTTATTTTTATACAATGATAATCGTGAGACATACTAAATTAGTAGCTTCAGAGGGGTTAGTTCAATTTTCTTTTACGTTTAACGAGATCGAAACGTTACCGTCTTCGGTGCTCCGATTGGTTGATTCTTTGGAGCTGGCCAATCAGAGCCTTTAGCCAAAAGCCACTTTAGCGCTTGTCTACAGAGAGAGTAGAAATCAAAATGTATGGGGATGACACTGACAAGTGTCAAAATATACGTCAATTCCATATAATTTGGTTTTCTATTCTACATGTAGACAAGCGCTAAGTGGCATTTGGCTACAGCTGCAGAAGTCTAAACGCGGTAACGTTTCGATAAACGTAAAACAAACTCGTACTAGGCCCTCAGATGGCTGCGTGACGTCACCACGTCTGCACACGCTGCTGATGTATAAGCCCCCTTGTGACTAGAAACTAGTAGAGCTTTTCTCAGTTATTTGCGTGAGTAAACCGTTATTTTCAATTACTTTGTCTTTTGTCACACTGCGACCTTACTGTGATAACGCACTTTTGAATAGATCACTGCTTTCTACAAATAAAACAATATTTATTATTATTCATATAAACAATGAATACGAAAACAAAATGGCGCTGAAAACAGCGCCAAGCTTTAATACGTTTCCCGCCATCTCGGTGCCAATATTTCCAAATAGTGTCCCGCAAAAATAAATGAATTATTTTTCGTAAAGTAATTAATATTTAAAATGCCGACTAGTACAAAATAATTGATTTTGTTGTGACCATAATAAAAAATTACAAATTTTTATTTTATAAGCATAACATTATCTTCATAGTCATCTTTATTTTTAAGAATTATTTTTTCTTCAAATGATATTATTATTTAGTTAGTTAAATAATTGTGTATGTAGAAAGAAATGCAGTTTGAACACCTATACATTTCTATGGAGTCAATGGTGAATTTACTCTTGAACTCGTCAAAGTTCAACGTAAGTACCGATGTTTATATTCTGTCTAATTTGTCATTATATCTTTCGAATCTCTTACATTTCTAAAGCAAAGCCATTTTATTTATTCGTTTCATCAAAACCGAAGTCATTTTCATTATGAATAAATCCACCATTTATTCCCGCGTTCTCACTGCATTTCTTTTCTTAGCTAAGTACCATATTGTTAGTGATATATGTATATTGTATAGTATAGTTAGATCATAGTAATTGAAAAATTAATATTATTATACCTATAGATCATTCCAAAATTATCTTTGTGAATTTAAACAGCAATAATAAATTCAACATTCCTTTTAACATAAGACTAGTGAGTTTCACTTTATTGGGACTATATGAAAACTTCAAAATTTATACTTAAAATTTTATATTTCTAATTATTTATTATGTGCACAGTTAGTACAGTAATGTGACAGGGTATGAAAATTAAAAATGTCCGTCAGTTAGGTAACGAAAAATAAAAGACACGTAATTTTTTATTGTGTTGTATAATAAAATATAATTAGATAATATAACGAATCAAAGCTTAGGAGTGAGGGCTAAAACGTCATTTCTACGTATAAAATGTACATAGAAGTGACGTCACGCGACATTTCAAATCAATATATCTTCGAAACTATTCGTTTCCGTAAAAAAATAAAAAATACGTGTCTAATATTTTGAAATAATCTACCAGACGGACATAAAATAAAAATTATTCATTTACACATGCACATCGTATCGCAGATTTGGTTACCGAACGAAATTGATCCACAAGTAGGAAATAAATGTTTAGATTTTGAGTGAAATAAATGTATGTCGTAATGGTGGCCCGGAGATTTAAGACGCCCGCTTCTCATGCATGAAAGTGCGGCTTCAAAACCTACCAACGGCAAGTAACAATGTGACTTTATCCAAGTTATATGTACTTTCTAAGATTATTTAGACACCACAGACAAACAATAAAGGAAAATATCGTGAGGATACCTGCGGTTATAATTTCTAATTATAAGTTTGTAATCGCCAACCCGTATTGAGCAAGCGTGGTGATTAGTGCTCAAACCTTTTCCTTGTGAGAACAGGCATTGCTCAGCAGTGGGCATTTATAGGCTGTTGATGATGATGAAGAAACTTTTATATTTCTGATTATATGCAGTTACCACAATAATTGGGCAACCTACTGCACATCGAATATCTATATATATATATATATATATAAATGAAACCCGTTTCCCGTTGACACGCCATAACTTGAGATCTGCAAGACCGATTTCGCTAATTTTATTTTTTTGTTGTGTTTATTATTGTCAGGAGAAGGTTTTTATGACAGAAAAAATCCTGAAAATCCTACGGTAACGGGAGAAAACGAGATTGCGCGTACGAAGTCGCGGGCAGAAGCTAGTAGAAAATAAATGTTTCCACTTTAGCGAAATAGATTGATGGCGACGTAGAATGCATTTAAAGAGGTAGGTTAAAATGTCCTAACTATGAAATAGTAATCTATAGTAGTCCCATTAAAGTAACGCTCACTGTAATACTAATATTAGTAAAATAATTTGGTCAATTATTAAATGAGTGTAAGCGAATTTACTGGGGAGTTATCGTTATATTTTCTAATCATCTGATATTCGTACCGGTGCTAATGCTAACATAATAATTAGAAAGCCAAATATATTTTGGTTTATAAATATGCAATACATTAAACTATATTTCATTTGGAAAAGATACTGTGATTATGTGATAACTCTATAATATTTAAATACTCTTATATTTGCTACGCAATAAAATCGTAATAAAATATCGACTAAATTATCTAAACGATGTAATAGATATACAACACTATACATACACTTTGAAGCGAAGATACTTTACCGTTTTTTCTTTTTAATTTTTTGTAATCCGAATTTAACTATAGAAAAAAAAATTTCTTTTACAACAAAAGTTCTCATTTTTAAGGAAACTAACTTGCCGTTTATACGATCTAAGTTACCAACTAATAAGATACTTGTATCAGATAATATATCAAGAAATGAAAAAGAAAAAACGCTGGTGCCTCTGCTTCTGTGTTCCCAAATGTATTTAACACGGTTTTATCATCATTAAAAAGTAACTTCAGATACTAAAAATCACAGTACCATTGCCAAATAAAATGAAGTACAGTGTCGTCTTTTTGTACACCAATTAAATTATGTCGTTCATTCTTTTAATAGTAAGAAAAGAAAGAGATTGTTACTCTTAAAATAATAATATTTGTAATTTATTTTTGTGTTTTTGTTTAAAAATAGTATTTAGAATATTTCTGTCTCTTTCTTATCTGCGCTGTTAGCAAAGGAGAGCGAGAGGTTAGATTTGATTGGTGTACGAAAGTCATCATATTTTTTTCTTAACTTTTTAATAGTGAGTTTGAACGTAACAAATGTATTCTTAAGCAAAGAACAGCAGCTGTTCGGTTTATTACAGCTTTTGTAATTATTTTACGACTCAACTAATTGAACTTGATAGTCCCTTAATTTAAAACAATGACAGGGTTAATTTTAAGTGTATTATTAACAGCTGAAATATAGTTATCATATAGCATCAACTTCTCTAAAAAGAAAAAAGGACATAGAGAATATTTTCTACATGTGTTAAATATTAATTATGAATGCTCCTTTTTGTTACGTTCAAGCGAAAATCCCTGTTTGTTGTGTTTTGTACTAACATTATCTTACATTCATAGAAATAGTGACTTATAATTTACCCGTTTTAAGCAATTAATTTTAAATTGTAGTATTTATTATTAAATTCATTATTGAAACAATGCATCGATAGATCCCTCATTATAAAATAAATATTATTCAGTCAACGATTCAGTTCTAAACCAACCTTTGTTTAATTGGGATGTTTGTCGTTGTAAATTTTTATAACAAAGTTTGTAATTATTGTCAATTTGGTGTTAAAAAAATACATGAAGTAAATATTATTTTGGATCTTTGTTTTATTTTTCTTCAAATAAATTAGAAAATTGGGATCCCTAGAAGAGGTAAAATTGATAGTGCCTAAAACAAGCTCGTATCTGCCTTATACAAACCATGTACATTATTACTGCAAGTTTTTATTGTCATACATTGATAAATAGGTATAGTTCAAGTTCAAGGTTAAGACCGCACCAGAAATTGTAAAAAAAAGAAGTCAAGATAATTCATCTATTGATAGATTAGTTTTTTGTACACAAAATCTAATTCATGTCTTATAAAAAGTGGCATGGTAGGTAAATTCCTTTTCATTGTTTTTTTTTTCATAGATTTATTATCTGTATGACTAGGTCTTGCAGGTGTGGTCAGGGAAAAAAAATAAAAGTTCATACCGTGTTCATTTCGTTTCCCTTCCTCTCAACCTTCCTGTTGCATTTTTATATATTATTTATGAATTTTTATACATTGAGCGAGTGGTAACTACTTATTTCTATTTGTTAAATAATATCAAACACGGTCACGATTTTCACAACAGCATTTTTTTTCTGTGGTAGTTTTAGTACGTGACATCAAAATGTCAGTCAGTCAAACAAAAGCATTGGCAACATTGAAATGAGCTGTCAAGACGTTTTAGCTTTGAGAGAATGTAGAAACAATTGATTTTACACGTTTTATATAGTTGTTTTTCTGAAATTATTTACTTTGTTTATGAAGATAAAATATCTAGCCGTTTAACTGTCACACAATGGCAGCCACGGCTCACAGCGACTTATCGATCGCCGAGCTGAAGGCTGAGATCGAGAGGCTTGGCCGCGAGCTCGATCAAGCCAGCAGCGAGAAGATCCAGTCGGCACAATTGGGTTTAGTACTGCTGGAAGAGAAGAGCTCCCTGCAGCAACGATGCGACGAGCTGGAGAGTCTGTACGAGAACACCAAACACGAGCTGGAAATCACACAAGAGGTTAGTGGCCTACATTCTGCTCATTACACTCTTCATGCATTAATGGGTACATTAAAACGAGCCGAAACGGACATTTTACTCCGTATTTATACAATTCATAATATGTACTACTTTCAAAAGTGGCTGGTGAAAATTATGAGTATAACCTACATACAATGTAACAGTTAGCTGGTTCATCTTCTCTCCATTAGCATTCATTGCACATTAGAATTATTGCTGTCTTAGTAACACACCAATTACTGTAAATCCTGTATCACTCAGAAAACTTAATTGAAATCTAGCTTAAGTTTATCAGTCAATTAAAACAAAGTCAACT